CAAACACAACAAACAGTAAAACAGAAACAACCAACACACGGTCCGTGTAATACGAAGGCGCATGTTTTCTAGGGGGTCGCAGGATTTAAGTCAAACTTCCCAAACCGTACCATCACTATGTATATCTGTAACGTCCATTAAAGCCAACATGTACGAATGCCTGTGTGTCCATACGCGGATCCAGGGGGGTGCAGGGACAACTCATCCAACTCACACACACGTACAACCCCCCCCCCCCCCCCCCCCCCCACACACACACACACACTCAACCCTTTTTTGAAGGAAAATAATCGTGACGTAAGTTTTCCAAATCATGTCCAAGAATTGTTGTAACACACACCAATAGCCCCCCCCCCCCCCCCCCACCACCCCCACCACACTCCACCACACACACTAACACTCCACAAACGACCCACACACACACACTCCACCCCACACGCCACACACACTCCACACACACACACACGCCAGCACCCTCCAGCACCCCCACCCCACCTCACACTCACACACTCACACTCACTCACACACACACACACACACACACACACACACACACACACACACACACCACTACCCCTTTCCCCTTAACTGATATGCGAATCAAATTTTCCATTAGATGTTGGTTTGTTTGTTGTTTAACACCGCACTCAGTAATATTCAAGTTAGATGACGGCGGTCTGTAAGTTATCGAATCTGGACCAGACAATCCAGTGATTGACATCACGAGCATCGATCCACGCAATTGGGATACGAAGACATGCGTCAACCAAGTCAGCGAATCTGACTACCCAATCCCGTTCGTCGCCTCCTTCGACAAACAGTCGCCTCTTACGGCAAGCATGGGTTGCTGAAGACCTTGGTTATGTCGCCTTTACTGTTTCTATGACGACCATGAGATATGCCAGTCGCCTATTCGTCTGACACACAAGACCTCAGCACCAACCTCCTGTTGTTTGGAAGGTTTCTGTTTTGCGCTCTGGAAACTGATTACCGCCTGTCTCGGAAAGTGTGGGGCTTCCAAGTCACAGTGTTGGTATATTGTATCACCTCACATCTGAGGTTATAACGGTAGTGATCGCTTTAACAGACTGACAGCAAAGAAACGAGCTTATCAAACGGTAAACGAATACGCAGACTGGGAGATAGTTTCGACGATGCAACGGAACCCACTGCATAGCTCCCAGAGTGGTTAACATTTAATCCCAGAAATACAGTTACCTTATATAAACATAAAATCAAATCCAAATGGAGCCCTGAACAACGCTTTGTTGTTTTAATTTTAAACTGACGCAATCTAGACTTGCCAAATCATTCAAAACTTGAGTAGGGTATGTTTCTTTATTTATTCTCCAGGGTCTGAGAGACAGACTCGTCCCTAGGGTCCCCGGCTGGGGTCAGGCGGTTACAGTGTGTGAGTGAGTGAATTCGGTTTAACGCCGCTTTGAAGTATATCTGAGTTATATCACGATGTGTCAGCTTGATGTTGGAAGACAGACATAAGTCATAAAGCTGTTTGTGAGGACGGATATGTTGCCGACAGTCCATGCAAGAAGCATCATCACGGCCAATCTGTATTCCATTCCCAGGGGCGATCAAGTAGCTAGTGGTTAAAGCGTTCGCTCGTCACGCCGAAATCCCGGGTTTGATTTCCGACATTGGTACAATGTGTGAAGCCCATTTCTGGTGTACCCCGCCGTGAAATTGCTGGAATATTGCTAAAGTCGGCGTAAAACCATACTCACTCACTCACTATTTGATTCCCCGATCATCGACTTCGCTCTTTAAGTGCCCATATTTGACAGTGTCACTGGTCGTATCGTCACAATGTATGCCAGATCTGCATACACAGCGATACATCAATCTCACCAACTCACTCACTCACTCACCCATCCACACACTCACCCACTCACTCAGTCACACGAATACCCACCAACTCACTCACTCACTCTTTCCGGGAATAACCGAGTCAGATATAAAGCGTTGTTGGTAAATATATAAAGACATACTCATATTCAAGAGATATTAGATTGGTTCGATGCCCAAACGAACATACTTGTATGCTGTATGAACCGACGTTCATGAAATGTGACGTCATAGATCTGTGACTCGAGATGCACCATGTGTCTCGTGCACGATTAAATGTGTAAATTTTGAAATCACGTGCAGCATATCGTGATAAGAATAAAGACCATGTGGTAACACTTGACTGATTGTTAGTTTTGTCATTAATTGGTACACATTGGAAATATCTCTCCTTAACATACGTATACATACTTCTCTAGATGTTTGTGGTCCGCGTTTCTTTTGGTGGTGAGTATATATTTCTGTGTGTTGTGACACTCTGAAATGTAAAGAATTCCTCCCCTTCTATCATTAACTTGTTTGTTACAAACCCAGATGAGGGACAGAATCCAAGTCCCTTCACAAAGCCGTGTTCTACATAAACATGTCACCGCACCACCCCCAAACAAAAGGCAAACGTAGCTTACCCGTATTCAATATACTGCTCTTTGGTATATTTGTGGAGAAGGCGAATAATTCGGGGTGGGAATAGACACGCTCTGTTTCCGGCCTGTCCTTGAAAACAGTTTCTTGCATTGAATTACGGTGATGTATCTATGTTCGGGGCTGCTCTAGCTCTTAGTATGGGAAACGTCAAACCAGATTATTTCTGAAAGACGTTTTCTCAAATTCTGATGTGCCATATGGGCTTACACAGTAAGTGTTTTTTATTTGCAGATGTTTCTTTCATGTGGCATGGGACGGGAGGAAAGAAAAAAACGTCTTTGCTCTAGTTTAAGCCTTACAAAGTTTTTTGCATTTTGGAATACCTATACTAGATATGCTTCAGGGTTTAAAGCCGTCTTTAGCAATATTACAGCATTATCACGGCCGGGAACACCAGAAATGGGCTGAACTGACAAACATACTGAAAATATTTGGTCAAGAATCACATTTTCATAGATTCCAATACATAAATAATTCATTTGTATATGGCCTGGAAAGACACCCCTCTCCTTCCTAATTTTTAATTGTTGCGATTTTGGTCTGCCTTCCGTCGCAATTTAAGAAAAAGACCTGCATGAAAATAATAGAATATGCATGTTTTGTCCATTTTCATTGTCTCTTAAAGTCCTCCCCATGATTTGAAATGTTGGTAACCGCCTCCGTGGTCTAGTGGCAGAGCGTCCGCCCGGAGAGCGGAAGGTCCGGGGTTCGATCCCCGGCCGCGTCACACGAAAAGACGTTAAAAGATGGTATTTGATGTTCCTGGCGTTCTACATTGGGAGCTAAAACAAGGATGGTCGGCTCGGGGTCAGTATACTGTGTCTGGGTAAACTGCGGCGTGGTATCTCAGTGGACTAGGACTATAAAATCGGCATTAGTCCGGTCTAGTACAAGCAGCCACACACACACACATATGCGTGCATGCACGTCGCTATATATGTGTAATAATCTTGGACGCGACGTTAAACCCCATATATTTCACCCCACCTTGAAATGTTGGTCACGGCAGTGGATGACAGCTAAAACAAAGACGTAATTCGTCGCCTGGGAATTAAGGGACCAAAAATGATGTTTTAGCATTTTCTTTCTAAATGGGCGCTGTTGTACATTGGTGCTGGCAAGTAGTTTAAAGCCAGAATGCTCTATGTCCATGTGAGTGTCCATGTGAGTGTCCATGTCAGAGGGGCGGTCGGGTAGCCCAGTGGTTAAAGCGTTCGCTCGTCACGCCGGAGACCCGGGTTCGATTCCCGACATGGGTACATTGTGTGAAGCCCATTTCTGGTGTCCCCCGCCGTGATATTGCTGGAATATTGCTAAAAGCGGCGTAAAACCATACTCACTCACTCACTGTCCATGTCAGAGTCCGGCCACATTCTTGAATCTGATCATGTAACAAAGAGAGAGGACCGCATAGTTCCAAATCATTTGGAGATAGAACCATTTGATCATCATTCATCAACTGTAGAATGTGAACATTGGGAGTGAATTTTGTGATCTGTCCACTGAAATACTGACTAAAAGGTGATGACTTCATTACAAGCTGTCTCAAGTATGCCATCTCTCCTTTCGATGAACACTTTGATCAGGAATAATCAGAATACGCCAGTTGAAGTTACTAATTGTGATAGAACAGTATGGATCTGAAAACATATGTCCTATAACTCTAGGTTATATAAAGTGATTGAGTGAGTTAAAATTCAACGTCGCATCGGCATTTCAGCCAGAAAAATAACATTTATCTGTATATGAGAAGATGGATAAATATTTTTGCTTTAAAAAACACAATCAACTAATTTGCATTTGTCTGTTTCATGTGAAATAAATGCATATTGTTTTTTTAGTTAATATTATATAGCACTTCAAATTTTAAAATATCATTTACTCAAAACTTGTAAAAATGGAGACTTACTGAGAAACTTACTGAGCCTTTGACTAAAAAATGTTGTCTCAGTAAATCATTTCAACCGTACCCAACATATCATAAAAAATAGTATACTATCCATCAATGGCATCTATTGCGGGTCGGTTCTGCTTGGGGTTTGACATCACAAACAGCACTACACTGCTTATGTATAGAGCCCGCACGTTGACGGCATCAAGGCACCCCGGAAACTGTTGACAAAGTCGCGGGAGTTGGAGCGTGACACGCACATGAGCTGTCGGGAGCTGTCGTGCTGATCGCTGTGACGACTCAAAACAAAGAACTAGACGCGCCACGTGGTTGAACCTATGTAAGTAGACGACTTGTTAGTATCAAGAGAGAGGCAGTGTCATGGAGTGGCAATGCAGTGTCTCTGACCGACTTGTCGCTGCAGCAATCTTTCTTCTCACACGACTTGGTGTGGGCCCAGTAACTGTTGAACAACGGCTATTTTTAGACTAACATTGCGCGTGTTCTCTACTTGTGAGGCGCCCCGAGGGGTGGTGTTGGGGTTTAAACGGGTGTATTTTACCGCGGGTATGTTAAGTTCATGTAAACAAAGGCAGGCATGTGACATGACAGATATTTATTAACTTTCCCTGTATCGTCCTGCAGAGAGTCGTGTTGTGATCTTGTTGGTGTGCCTTACACGCAATCAACAGTGTCACTGTGACCCACGACGATGACCCGCGGAGTGATGACTGCCATTGTCATGTCCCCTCGAGGACATTGTATTTCCCCCTCCCACTCATCCACAAGAGGAAAGTTACAGACGGAAGGAGAGGGGTAGGGGGGCATATCCCCAGGACAAAGGACATTAATATGCTTCTGTTTAACACAAATGACAAATTTATCTCCATTTCTTAAGATGATTGGACAACAGAGGTGAATATTGTATGAGGTAGATCCAGTCATGTTCCCATTTGTTTTTTGCGAGTTTTTTTTTATTGTTATATAGAGAATACTACACTCATTGTCATTAGATACCATTTTTCCGAAACGAGTGAACTTTCTATGGTATCAAATGAGTGGTATTTTATTTATTACCCACATAAAATACATATTTAAGTGTAAATTCATAACAACTTTCGTTTGTTGACAGACCAAACTGAAACCGGTCGCAAAATCTGGTTGTGCATAAATATTGATGTATGCCCAAATATGGGCATTGTTGACATTTCTGTGTATACACATTAACAATATGCAAAGAAAAGTCAACCGTGATCTACTCAAAGCGTTGTACGCTAGAGATAGGGAATGTAATTGTTCACATTTGGGATATTTTGGGCCACATAATCAGAAGTCAGATCAATTGATCGGTAGTCATACATTGTAAATGGATAAAGCTCAATTATATGATGTCTGTAGAAGTTCTATGCATAACTTATATAGAATGCAAACCGAATTTCATGCATGTGACTATCTTATTTGGTTTAATAAAGTGTTTGTAAATATCTCTCGCTCTCACTAGATTGCTTCAGTTCTGCCTTGTAGTGGCAAAATGAATGACGTTTTTTATGAATGAAAAAGGTAGTCCTGTTGTGACAGAGGTCACGGTTATCCAATCAAAACGAAGTAAACAAGGTCAACCTTGTACGACACACGTGTGACGTACAGATTTAGTATCATACCACCTGTATCTTCACCACGTCAGTCATAATAATATTAGTCACATGGTCCTGTGGTCTCCCAGACCCTGGAGATTGAATGAAAAAGAGTCAAACTCAAGTCAAGACAGGGTTCAATTCTTCACATGGGTACAATATGTGAAGCCTGTTTCTGGTGTCCCCCGCCGTGATATTGCCATCTTCCCGAGGCAAGAGAGTTAACTGACTATAAAAGTCCAGTTTCCACCCTTGCCGATCTAGGCTAGGCTTATGGAGTTACAATTGGCTGGACTAATGAGTCTATGCATAGTCCAATCAAAATCACGCACCGAAATCGAAATCCGGTTCGTAAACTGTCATGCAGAGTTCCGTCTATTGCAGGATTTTGCAAAGCATGTGCATTGCCAACTCGTTGTCAACAGAGTATATTTAGTATATTAAACAAAAGAAAACATGAGTAAAAAAGATAGTATCACTTCTGAACCCAACTTATTTAGTGTTATTTTCACAGTCAGATTCGGGGGCACGGGTGGCCCAGTCGTCTTAGGCGCCACGATTCGCTGCGCAGAGTTGCGTCCCTTGGGCACGCCAGAAACCTATGATTGTGGGTTCGAATCCCGGTTCGCCCCAATTATGTTTCAAGATTTGTCAACACCATACCCTTGCTCGTGGGTTTCACCGAAGTGGTAAACGTTTGAGACCTGCATCACTTCGGGCTCTCCTCCCACTTTAAGCTGACACGCCGTGATATAACTGTAATAATGTTAAAAGCGGCGTTAAACCAAACTCACTCACTCACTCACTCACACAGTCAGATTCCTCTTCCTCTCTGTTTAACTGTCTTGGAATATCAAGAATGGTATCACAAAATGTTCTGTGTTCAATTAAAATTCTTTGTGTCATATGCCAGGGTTGGATAGGTGTTGGACAAATTAGTGAACAACGTGAGCATCTTGTAGTGCTGTTACATCTGTGTCATAGCTACACAAGAAATCATCTGTGGGCATTCAGGGTACGAGCAGGTCCCCAGTAACCTATGCTGGTTGGAGTGAGTGAGTGAGTTTGGTTTTACGCCACTTTTAGCAATATCACGGCGGGGGACACCGGAAATGGGCTTCACACATTGTGCCCATGTCGGGATTCGAACCCGGGTCTTCGGCGTGACGAGCGAACGCTTTAACCACTAGCTACCCGACCACCCTATGCTGGTTGGAAGAGGCGACCCAATGGATCGGGTGGTACGGCTCAGTGACTGTTGATTGAGTGTTTTTGTACACTGTTGGTGTGGATCATTGCCTGCTATATTGATCACTGGATTGTCTGGTCCAGACTCAATTATTCACAGGCTGCCATCATTATGCTGAGTATAGTGTTAACGAGAAACACAGACACACGCACGCACACACGCACACACACACACACACATATACATACGTCACAATATAAGTGCAATAACCTTTAACAAAACATTAAAACCACATTTCACCTTTCCTTATAATTAAGAAGTTCAGAGACCTGCAGACCCGTGAAGATCCGGGGTAGAATAGGTCTTAAGCAACCCATGCTTGCTGTAAAAGGCGACTAACGGGATCAGGTGGTCAGGCTCGCTGACTGGGTTGATGCATGTCATCATATCCCAAATGCATGGAATGATTCGCTTGATGTCAACCTCGGGATTGTCTGGTCCAGACTTAATCATTTACAGACCACCGTCATATTGCTGAGTGCAGCGTAAACAACAAACAAATCAGAGACCTGGAATGGTTTGTTGTTATATGAGTCAGAAGCATGTAAGAGAAAATACCAAGATCAGCTCACATTTTATCAGATTTATGTCATCTAATACAGACGAGCCTCTGTACCTGTGGTACTCTCCAATGGACCAGTGTCACGAACAAACAAGATTTCTTCAGATCAATAAATGTCAAAGTACAAGTGTTAAGTATGTTATCAACACTGCCACATCTTGTCCGATGTCTGTAATAAACAGTATCCTATTTTTACAGATCCATCTCGCAAACAGACTGACACAGATGTCTCCCACACTAACAAGCTCCTGCCGGATGAGCCCTTCGAACAGAAATAACGACAATGTTTTTTGTGAAGGAACATATTCCTCAACTCTACCTCTCTCAGTTGTGCATACCGGTGTGAATCTTGGAAAAGAATAACTGAGTGATTTGGATGAAGATGCCGAGCCAGGCGTTGTTGAAACACATGCAGTGGTTGTTGTTGCTGTGTGCCGTTACCATTCCTGGCGCCAGTGCAGTAGACTCTGTGACTCCAAGACTTCCTGGGAATGATTCAACTCTTGGAACCCTACAGGAGCACCCTAATTATGGGGACAAAACTAGTTCTCACGGAACTGGCGATACAAATATAACTATGAATATCAGTGAACCTGATAATATGTTTTTTCCTGTCACCATGGAAACAAGTAATAAGAACCATCATAGAGATATGATTATTCAAAAACAAGACAAGAGGCAAGAGGAGAGCAGAACAGTATCTCTAGGCGACGTCTCTGCATCAAAGACATACGATATAATATCCTGGCTTCCGAAACCCCCGGACAAGAAGTCCATGGTTAATCTGACCATCCTGCCAATACTGGCCATGCTTGCTTTCCTCATCGGTCTCTGTCTCAAGGGATGTACATGGTTTCGGGAAAGTTTGAAGGAGAGTGACCGAGATTCTATGGAGGATGACCGAAGTTTTATCATATTACAAGAAGGCGATGAGGAGTACCATGACGTGGACTTCCGTTCCAACCTATCGACACCCTACGACACCTATAGCTCATATATGTCTTTCTTGAAAAGAAATAACAACGACACTGTGACCTCGTTTCGATCACTCCAGAACCAGCCGTATGACACGGTGACCTCGTACAGGTCTCTAATGCTGCAACATCTAAACAGCCACAACAATGACAGCGTCAACTCCTACCGCGCCTTAATGCAGCGGATGTCCCAGATGAAAGATGTGGAGGTTCAAGTGGAACTCCTGGACGAAAAACCTAAAGACACCGATCAGAGGAGTGGCGTACGCAGCTTGCGATCAAGCCACCGTTCCAAGAGCACGAGCCCGAAGCTCAAACGTAAATACGGCCATGGGGAAAGTGGATTAGAGGATGTGGTAGAAAGCACCGATTGTGTTCAGAAACGTGGTCTCAATGAAAATGGTGATGTGTTTACTGTTTCTAAAGTTGCCACAGCGAATGGAATAAAGCGTCACTACGACAAGAGCCCCAATAGACACACTACAAACAGGAGTCCAACTGTGCAACAAATTGAGAGGAGTCCTGTTCGTCGCCTTGACAACAGTCCTGTTCGTCACCTTGACAACAGTCCCGTGAGACATGATGGTGGCAGAATCAGCCCCAAGTCGTCCAAAGTCCCGCGATTTAAAGTTTCGTTTGTGACAGATGATGAGGAAATGGCTCGGATCAAAGCTGACAATGTTCACAGTCCGCTTCAGGTAGACGGCAAGTTGAGTCCCACCACGATCAAGCTGCATCTTGAATATCGATCGTGTGACACTCAGCGCGACATGGAGGGACGGCAGATGGTTCATCAGTGTTCAGGGCACCATACGAACATTCCGTAACAAGGATTATTCAACTGTTGTACGATTTGTAATTGAACGGATTTACTATGCAATCTTGCATGCTTGAAGTGTGTGTTAGATCATGCTTGCATTATGATAAATTTGAGGTTAAAAAAAATATTTTTCTTGATTTAAAGTTGATATTGCTACATAGAGAATTTCACCCTTGTGTCTTTTGATATCAAATATATCAACACAAGTTGATAACAGTGGAAAAACTCTGAGGCTATCAAATGACACAAGGATGAGATTTTATTTATCATCCAGTATCATTCTTAAATTGAAATACGTAACAAAAGAAAGCGATATCTCCTGTGGGAGCCAGTATTGGATGATAAATTATGAAGGTCACTCCTTCACCTCACAAATATATGGCCATACTTTTTTCTCTTGGTTTATGGATACATTAACTCTTTTATTATATCTGAAAATAACATCTAAAAAATATTCCACTTGATGCTAACTTCAGTGTTCGTCACACATACTATACTCACCGCCAAAAGAAACGCGGACCATTGAAACATATAGAGAAGTATGTACGTTAAGAAGAGATGTTTCCAGTGTGTAGCACTTAATGACAAAACTAACAATCAGTCAAGTGTTACCACAGAGTGTCTTTATTCTTATCACTATATGCTGCACATGATTTCCAAACTTTGCACACTAATCCTGCACGAGACAAATGGTGCATCTCGAGTCATGGATCTAAGTCACATGTGATGCATACATGAGCATCGGTCAAGTCACACAACATACCAGTATGTTCACTAATATCTCTTGAATATGAGTAAGTCTTCATATTATAACCAACCTGTAAGGTATTAGTTTCTTTTGTTGGTGAGTATATAATCTGATATGACTTTTTCGTTTCTTTTCTTTTTTCATCTAGTTAAGTTGTGTGGGGTTTTTTTACTATTTATATTAGGCATTTAAAAAAAAAAAAAAAAATTCATTTTTATTTTATTTTTTACTTATATTTTTACTTTTTTACAGTGAAATCTGTAAACCAAGAAATAAAAAAATGTGGCCATTTAACATGAATAATGCATTATAATAGTGTGATGGTCCCCAGTAGCTCCAGCGGTGTGTGTGCTGTCATTGGCTGGCTACAGACTGTGTTACCAGGTTTCTGAGCCAGTGGTTCACTCAGGTCTAACTTTTTCTCAGTTGGTTTTCCAACAAAATACGACACAAGTTGTGTTACCCAAACAGCATGTAATGATACTAATAACACAAGAAACAATCCTCGCGGGAGGAGCCATCGATGGTTGACTGAAACCCTGTTTGACTCTCATGATGTGCTGTGTTGTGACTTACAATATGTTCCGAGCAGAATCAAACCCAACTCACACACTCACTCACTCCGTCCCGACTGGTGGGGCACCTCACCAAGTTCTTTCTTGCCAGAAGAGGTGACTAAGGGGATCGGGTGGTCAGGCTCGCTGACTTGGTTCATGCATGTCATCGTATCCCAATTGCTTGGATCGATGTGCATGACGTCAATCACTGGATTGTCTGATCCTCGATTATTCACAAACCGTAGTCATATGGCTGGAATATTGATGAGAGTGGCGTTAAACAACAAACAAACAAACAAACCTAAATCACTGGTAATACAATAGTCGCTCTCTTTGTCAGCTTGTCCCCCGACCACTCAATGTATTCAACAGTACTGATGACAATATATGTCCTGTACTAAAAATTAATAGAATTTTTTTTCTTTTGGTATAGATACATATATATTTGAGCTCGTTCGTATGATATTATTTTGGAGCTGGTCACAGATTATGTAGCCATTTATGAAGGTGATATAGTTCTGAAGAAATTAATGAAACTATTTATTTACTGTTAGGGTCATTGTCCTGGTCACATTGATACTGCACGGCATTGTGATAGAGGCATGTCTCTCAGGTGATGCCACTTGAGGAAATATGCATGGATTTGTTTTAAATGATATCGTTAAAGTTCCTGATTTTAATGATGGCTCAAGTTTGTTCAAAGAATCAATTTTTGGAAATTGATTGTTAAGATATTCATCTCAGAAACAAAAAGGCCCCGAAGACTGTGTGAATGCTGAGTATCACAGTAAAGTAAAGATCTGTCAACTTGGACTGTCATAGTCAATTACTTTCAATTAACTTGCGTACAGAAACACATGCATTAAATGGAAAACTCAATAGTTTAAAAACAGCACACAAAAATACCCAATGAAGCTTTTTCAGCATGTGCACACAGAGCTAATTTCTGAAACACAAATACGAGCTAATTTACTTTCCGAGTCAATCCAATATTTAGAACCATTATATACATCTAAAACGTTATTTTCATTTTTTTTAAATCTTAAAATATTCACAAATTTGGGGAAAAACCCAATAGAGTGATGAATAGATGAGTGAAAAAATATTGGTTACCCAATGAAAAATGTAATGACCCAATTAAAATAGAAACCTTCGAGTAAAAACTCAATTGCTCAAAAAGTTATCTGGAGCTCTGATACTGCTCTAAAGAAGTTAGAGTACACCTGATTCTTTCCTGATACCACCCTGATTATGTATCTAGGTTTGTCAGCGCCACACCCATGCTCGTGGGTTTCACCTGAGTGGTAAATGTCTGAGACCTGCATCACTTTGGGCTTTCCTCCAGCATTAGCTGACACACCGTGATATAACTAGAATACTGTTCAAAGCGGTGTTAAACCCGACTCACTCACTTTCCTAATCCTAACAGTAGCTTGGCAGATCAACTACAGTAAGTTATATGAAAGCATCAGGTGTTCTTTAACTTCTTTTGAAAAGTATATATGTATGGGAACCATATTGGCTGAAGCATACCATTCCGCCCCTGATGCCAACTGTCTTGTACACACCAAACATTGGAACTCTTGGGCCCTGAGAGATACTTGGTCTCTGAGGCTAGTTTTGGAAATACTCATTTTATCGCAATGCTATTGCACCCTATGTGTTCTTATATACTGAACCAAAAACATTAGGGATCCATGAATATTTTTGGGTGAGGTGAGGCGGAATGGGGTTTAACGTCGTGTCCAAGATTATTGCACTTATATAGTCACGTGCATGCACATGTGTGTGTGTGGGTGTGTGGCTGCTAGTACCAATTTATTGTGCTAGCCCACTGAGATACCATGCCGCTGTTTAACATGGATACCCCTCTCAGACACAGTATACTGACTTCAAGCCCACCAGTCCTTGTTTTAGCCCCTTAATGCTGAGCCCCAGACAGGGTAACAACAAGTACCATTTTTTAACCTTCCGGTCTGCGGGTGGACGTCTACCACGAGACCACGGAGGCGGTACCAAACATTTGAACACTTTGGCCATGAAAGCTACTTGGTCTCTGAGGCTATTTTTGGAAATGCTCATTTTGTTGCACTGCCATTGCATACTGTGTTCTTATATACTGAAACAAAAATTTTGGGGGATATTTTTTATTAAATTCTGTGCTCAGTCTTCACAAAAGATATTCAAGATGCTTAACCTATTTTGTTCTCTGTACATTTTCACAGCTGTTATTGGCTGAGAAGCATCGGATAGCTATTAAAGCCTACAGTGGTTGTCAATTTGAAGAATAGCTGTGATCAGTAGGCCATGCTTTTCTCTGGTTGCGCAGTAATCCACAGCCATGCCTCTTTAAGGACTGCATACTGGTCTAAGGTGGCATTGTGAGTTGCAATGTATCGTGTAAGAGCTATTGGTTCAAGACTATCTGGTGCAGACTCAGTGGTTTGAGAGTATAGCTCGCTCTACTATATGTGGGGCACGTCAATCAGCAGTGGTGGCCGTGTGCGAAATACGCATCAGTCGGAAAGCGCACGTTAAATCTCCAAAGTAAGTAAGTAAGCAGTGGTGTGAGAACACTGAATCGACTGTGAAATGTGAGAACTGTTGAGGAATAAACTATATGTTTATTCAAGACATGTTTCTGTTCATTAGGAAGAGCTGAGATACTACAAGAGTTAAATCCCTTACTTACACCAGGATGAAGTGGTAACTATGTACGGAAATCCTCCCTTCAAGCTCCCATCACATGTTAAGCACATATATAACTGAAAAACTGTTGAAAACACTTTCACCCAATACTTTATGACTGGCAATATTTCCATGGTAAGTGAGTGAGTTGAGATTAACACCGCTTTGAACAGTGTTCCAGTTATGTCATATCATGTTCCTTAATGTGGGTGGAAAGCAGTTATTAGATGTTCACCACTTTGGTGAAACAAAGGAGCATGGGTATGATGCTGACAAGATTAGAAACATAATTGGGCCCAACCGGGATTCGAACCCACAATCTTAGGTTCCTGGCATGTCCAAGGGATGCAACTCTGCAGATCGAACTGCGGAGTTTCAGACATCAGGGTCACCCATGCTCCCGTGCTAAGAAGTCATGTGGTCGGGCAGTTCCCCAACACCAGGTGTTCAGATATACTACTCAAAAGAAGTTAAGTGTCACCTGATTCTTTCATATTGGTAAAGTTAATCTGTCATGGCGTGAGAGATTAACTATTGTAATATGAAAGAATCAGGTGATCCTTAACTTCTTTTGAGTAGTATTTTTCTCATTGAGGACAGAGGATCATTAATGAGCCAAAGTAATTTGGTTGAGAAAGATACACCTCAGAGTGTAAACTGTTTAAAACAATGTTTTTGTAAGAAAACCAATAAAGAACATAATAAAAATTACTTTAACAACAATTGTTTTTGTCATCATAATTACCTAAAATTCTGTCAACTTTTCTTCTTCACAGTGAACAACACGGGGTTCCACCACTCCCCCCTTTGGAAAACCAAATGTAGTATATTGTATGCAGTAAAATTGACTGAGAGAGGATCTTGATATTTTGGCGCCCTCCCTTTTAAAATGCTGGATACGCCCTCAGGCAAATGTTGGTTCACAGAACAGTCCACGGGAATATCCAGGATAGAATAGGTTTTCATCAACCCTTGCTTGCTGTAAAAGGCGACTATGCTTATTAGATGCGACTAGGGATCGGGTGCTCGCTGACTTGGTTGATGCATGTCATTGTATCCCAGTTGCGTGGATTGATGCTCATGTTATCAATCACTCGATTGTCTGGTCAAGACTTGATTAATTACAGATCGCCGCCATATAGCTGGAATATATCCGAGTGTGGCGTTAAACACACAAAAAACACAAAAAAAACAGGACAGTCCGAGGTTTCACTGAACAGATTCAGTCTGTGGGGTATATTTTAAGAATGCTTCCCTCAATGTGTGTTTTATGATAATTATGAAATTAGTTATCCCCCTTTGTTCACACTGCGCGGTAGACATATGTATTTGCATCAGGCCAATCAAACAAACCTGGTCGGCTAACTGTAGTACTTTTTCGCGGGCTTACATTGATCCAGGTCAATGACAGTCGCTAGTGTCTAAACTAAACTGAAGTGAACTAAGTTCACATCGCTGACGGGGGCAACAATATTTCTGACATGCAATGATCTTACGGAAAGAGAAAACTCCTCCTGTAAACTTGTTTCATTTAAGCATGGACGGAGACCGTTTTCTTTATTCAAATATGCTGCTGTCAGTTTTTCAAGAATCACAGATACACGTTTCGGTAAATTTTGAC